GCCGGGGGCGGTCAGACCTTCCCCGCACCCCCCCCTGCTCGGGCAGCCCCTCCTTTCCTCGGGGAAAACGGCTCCGGCGTGGGCTTTCTCCGCGACATCCTTCTCCAGCGGGTCGAGGGAGGGGATTCTGCCCCTGTGCTCTGCTCTGGTGAGACCCCACCTGGAGTGCTGCATCCAGCTGTGGAGCCCTCAACATCAGAAGGATATTGACCACTTGGAGCGAGTCCAGAGGAGGCCACGAAGATGCTCAGAGGGCTGGAGCACCTCTGCTATGGGGACAGGCTGAGAGAGTTGGGCTTGTTCAGCCTGGAGAAGAGAAGGCTCTGGGGAGACCTTATTGCAGCCTTCCAGTACCTGAAGGGGCTACAAGGAAGCTGGGGGGGACTTTTTACAAGGGCCTGTAGTGACAGGACAAGGGGTAACGGGTTTAAATTGAAACAAGGTAGATTTAGATTGGATATCAGGAAAAGTTCTTCCCAGGGAGGGTGGTGAGGCACTGGCACAGGTTGCCCAGAGAAGCTGTGGATGCCCCATCCCTGGAAGTGTCCAAGGCCAGGCTGGATGAGGCTTGGAGCAACCTGGTCTAGTGGAAGGTGTCCCTGCCCATGGCAGGGGGGGTGGAACTAGATGGTCTTTAAGGTCCCTTCCAACCCAAACCATTCTGTGATTCTCCCCCCGGTGGATAGGCCGGCGGTGTTTACCGAGGAGCTGCCAAAAGCTCCTTCTGTGCCGTTCATTCCCGAGGGAACGGCCTGCATCCCTGAGCCTCGCCGCTCAGGGGCTTGCGCCCCCCCACTCTGTGCCCCAGAAGCAGGGTCGGTGCTGCTGGACACCCCAGCGTCACCACCTCCCCACTGCCGCCAGCGCATCCCCCGCCGAACACTGCCCGAACATTTGGGAATCAGGAGATTGCGCCAAGGAAACTCCTCACCAGAGCAGGTGACTCTGGATTTCAGATCTCTGATGCTGAACCTTGAATTTCCTACGCCTGGGTCTTCAATGCGCCGAGTTGGGATCAGGGTGGGTGACCCGGTCACGCAGGCTGTGGCGGTCTCTTGACTTGCTTCGTGTTCTTCCCCAGGTTTGTCAGTGAAGGCACCGATGGAGATGGGGAGCAGCAGCACTGAGAAGTTTTACAGGATCCCCGAGGGAAAGGGGCCGCACGCGGTGGGATGTACAGACCTGATGACAGAAAATGCAGCTGAGGTAAGGTTCTCGGTTCTTCCTGCTCTGGATTTAAGGCACCGTGTTGGTGAAACAGCTCGCTGCAGTTTTACAGGTGAATCTGACAGACGGGCTTGTCTGTGTGGAGGGATGCTGCAGGGATGAGCAGGGATGCTCCATGGGTGACACACCTGAGTTTTCTATCCTCTCCATCCCAGTGTTGGACATGTTTAAATTGAAAAGCGGGTTTAAATTGAAAGCGGGGAGGGTTAGATTAGATATCAGGAAGAAGTTCTTCATGGAGAGGGCGGTGAGGCACTGGCACAGGTTGCCCAGAGAAGCTGTGGATGCCCCATCCCTGGAAGTGTTCAAGGCTGGGCTGGATGAGGCTGGGAGCAACCTGGTCTAGTGGAAGGTGTCCCTGCCCATGGCAGGGGGGGTGGGACTGGATGATCTTTAAGGTCCCTTCCAACCCGAACCATTCTATGATTCTATGATTCTATGTACTGGGCACTTACTAGAGAGATGTAACCTGCAAGCCTTCCCCATGGCTACTTCCTCACTCCTCCTAATATCCCTGCCTTCCTGACTCCCCTACACAAGATACTGCAGAGAAACTGCATCCTCCTGGGACCCAGGGGGTTATTCCCATCCAGCTGCTCCCTTCTGCGTCGGGCTCCTGGGGAGACTCCACGCAGACTGTAGCTGTTCTCATCGCAGAGATCCCTGCGGGATTTGGCAGGGTTGGGTGGCGAGGGTATGGGATGCTGCAGCCGCAGGCTAAAGCATGAGACATCTTCTCGAAACGTTATCTATCTGATAACGAACAGGATGTCAGTTGTGCAAGCGGTTAGTGCAGCGAGAAGCCACAAGTAGAAGATGGGGACAATAACTAGCCAGCTCATAGCTCCTTTGTGGGTTTCCATTTCAATTCCTCTTGTTTAATTTTCCTGTGAGAACGTGCCTGCATTGACACTGTGGTTTATGCCTCAGGCTGACCAGGTATAGTAGAACTTGCAATCAGTTTGTAGTGGTTATTCGTATGTTTTCCTTTGTGCTACTGAACTTCCTCTGTATTAGCACAAAGAAGCGATTAGTTTCTCTTTGCCATCAGCCCGTGTGTTTTTCTTAGATAAGCAACATCTGTAATTACAGTTCTCTCAGGCACGGATAATGAACCTCTTTCTGGTAAGCAGATAGTCACCTGGGGAGGTTCACTGAGACTGTGCTGGGATCAAATTAGTGTCATTACCAGTAGGGATGAAGGCTTGATGATTTCTTCCTTAATAGTATTTGTGTCAAAGGTTGCTTTAAGTTTAATGAGTAAATAGAAACAAGCTTCATTAAACAAGCTTCTTGTACACTTTGTGCATGAAACTGATAAATCAGTGCTCAAGAAACCAGACTTTATGCCAAAGCTCATGTTCTTTTTTGCCCTAGACTTAACTTGTTAAAACAAAAATACAGTTGGAGCAAGACAGTGAATTTGAATAGTGTGTCACAAATTCCCTTGCAAACCAGGAAGTAAGAATACAAATTACACGCAGTTCATCTGCCGGGAGCTCTGCTTTAAGGTGTGCCGTTGGTACGTTGCTGCTGTCTGCCTAGGAGAAATACTGGCAAGGGGGACACGGAGTGGTCCAGGGAAGGTGGAAAGCTTGGCAGGTTTCCTGGGAGACCTGGAGCGCAGACAGTAAGAGGAGTTTCAAAGCAGTGGTAAGAAATGGAGGCAGATAAACCACAGGTTAACAAAATTCTGTTTAGAAAGATGGACCACTGCAGACTAGTAAGCATCGTGATGAGGAGGCAGAACAGTACATTGCACTCCTTTGCTGTGCAGCTGCCCAAAAGCTTTACTGACAGCCTTCTGCTCTGCACAGCCAGGAACACTATGGCCACCTTGGGACTGTGCCCCTGACTCTACCCACATCTCCCATGCTGGACCAGACTGCCAGAAACTAGTCTCAGGATAAAATTTGTCTTGCTAACCCAGTGGAAGAATATACTTCCAGGAGGGTCCTTTTACCCCTGCCAGTTTAGCAAGCTGAATTGGGTGAGTAACAGATCCATGAGATTCCCTGGTGCAGAGAAAGTAATGACAGATCCCAGCTGGAAGGGTGAAGGGGACACAGTTACCCCTGTTAAAGTGATCAAGCTGCATCATCGTACCAGTCCCCGAAGGGAGGCAGAGTGAGGAAGACAGAAGAAAAGATCCAGCAAGATGCAGAAATAGAGTAAATACAAGGGGTAACGGGTTTAAATTGAAAGTGGGGAGGTTTAGATTAGATATTAGGAAGAAGTTCTTCCCAGAGAGGGGGGTGAGGCACTGGAACAGGTTGCCCAGAGAAGCTGTGGATGCCCCATCCCTGGAAGTGTTCAAGGCCAGGCTGGATGAGACTTGGAGCAACCTGGTCTAGTGGAAGGTGTCCCTGCCCATGGCAGGGGGGTTGGAACTAGATGGTCTTTAAGGTCCCTTCAAACCCAAACCATTCTGCGATTCCATAAAATAGGTAATTGTTGTTTGTAAAGATTAACTTAATTAAATGGAGCATTTTGAATCAGCCAGAGGCTAACCTAGAAAAGGTGACATGTATCTCTACCTGGATGCCAACAGTCATGCTACTTCAGGTTCATTGCAGGGCCAAAAAGATAGTGGCACAGGATTGGCATCAAAGCCTGTATAGGATGATAATTTTCTCGGGAGATTCTCTTAATTCTTTTGAGCTGTCATTCTTGCATTTGAAGCCCTTGACATAAATGTTTTTATCTTCCTTTTTCTCTGCCATATATAAATAAATACCAATTTTTCTTTCCCCTCTCTCCCCCCCAATCCCAGGGAAGCTTCTTGCGCCTGTATTATCCATCATGCGATGCCACAGGCAACGAAGAGGCACCGTGGATTCCAGACAAAGAGTACTACCAGGGTCTCTCTGACTTCCTTAATGTGTACAGAGTCGTAGGAGAAAGGCTTTTCCAGTACTACGTCGGTAAGACTGGTTTTGGTTTCATTCCTTGACAAGTGCAAGGGGGTGAGCTCGGCATGCAGGTGATTGCCTCGCTGCTCCATGAGCAGTCTGTTATTGCTGCAGGACCTGAAAAATCATTCTTCTCAAAGGAGTCTGTGTGTTTGGGGCGGGTTTGTACAGCGATGCTCAATGCTGCATGTGACCAGCAGTCCCTGACTGCTGTAATGGGAGTGTCTGGGCGATTTACTGTAGGAAGAGTTTGGGTAAGGTCTGTCTCTATGTCGGGATTTAAATCCCAGAGGGAAATTTGCAAATATAGAAAGGTGAGAGAGATACTAAGCTGTGAATACCAGCAAGGCTTGGATGCCTAACTATTGTTGAAAATCTGTTCTCATAGGGTTTAAGAGATGTGTAGGCCTTGTGCTAGGCTGTGGGTGGGAGGAGGAGTAGGAAAGTATCTGCTGCCAAGAAGAAAATAGTTTCAGAATCAGATCTTTATTTGTCTTTTGTATTTTAAGTGTGAGATCTGGTACCTTATCTTCAGGTGACCACTCTGAATTGGGTGGTCGCCAGATTCTTGGGATCTCTCCCACAGCAAGAAACACTTTCTCTCATTTTGGTAATAATGACCTACGCTTCGATTTTTATCTAGGTTCAGTGACCTGCCCTGCAAAGTCAAACGCTGCTTTTAAGCCAGGAGAAAAATACCCACTCCTCATTTTTTCCCATGGACTTGGAGCTTTTCGGTAATTCTGCCGTTGTTTGACCAAGTATTTTTGTTGTTTACGGAGACAGCGATCTCCAAGGATGGTTCTGAACAGATTTTGAGTAGGGGGGTGAGTTTCCCCCATGGTGTTGAAACAGATTTGAAGAACAGGCTGCTGTGTATCAGTATGCCTCACTGAAATCAACAGCAGTGAATAAAAGCAGGGATGGCATATTTATTTGTTTCCTCTTTATATTTTAGGGGTGAAGGTATTTATCAATCCATAGGTATGCTGTGAAGATTAGCTAGTTGATTTTTGGACACTTCTTTGAAGATGCAAAATGTCACATGTGTTACTTCTTAAAAATCGTTAGCATTTTTCCTTCTGAATAGGTAGTAAAACAGTAATAAGATTTTGTGAACAGGCTTTGGTGATTGGCATACGAAAACCTGCTCTTCTGGCTAGCAAATTCAAACAGTGGAAATACTGAATGGGGGCTAGCACATATATAGTGTGGTCAGTGTTTAAAGAGCAGTGTAATTGAAATAATTATGTGTCATGGTTTAACACGTGGTTAACTCTTTCCTGACTAAACCCAGCACACTATGTATGCATGTGTCCCACCAGAGTGTGGTTTTGATTGCAGGACGATCTATTCTGCTATTTGTGTAGAGATGGCTTCCCAGGGCTTTATAGTGGCTGCCGTGGAGCACAGGTGGGTAAACTGCACGTTTCTGAGTTCTGATGGAAAAAAACTTTTCTCACATTGAATAGAATGGCATTTATTCTAAAGAAGAACTTAAGACTTTTTTAAAAAAGAAAAATTAACCTACCTTTTGTAGCCCTGCCCACACCCCCAGTTCCTGTAGCTCAACTCTTACCTAAGCAAAGGAATTTGCTTAGATAAGTCCTGGAATGAGTAGTCCCATGGTAGGTACTGTTTGTCATTCTTCAGGCATGCTATTTTCCTCCCTCTTATTGTTAGAGCCTGGAGAATAACAAGGAGGTGGGAGTTTTGGTGGGGTTATTGCACCTCTCCTGTGAGGACAGGCTGAGAGAGTTGGGCTTGTTCAGCCTGGAGCAGAGAAGGCTCCGGGGAGACCTTATTGCAGCCTTCCAGTGCCTGAAGGGGCTACAAGGAAGCTGGGGGGGCCTTTTTACAAGGGCAGGGAGTGACAGGACAAGGGGTAACAGGTTTAAATTGAAAGTGGGGAGATTTAGATTAGGTATCAGGAAGAAGTTCTTCACGGAGAGGGTGGTGAGGCGCTGGAACAGGTTGCCCAGAGAAGCTGTGGATGCCCCATCCCTGGAAGTGTTCAAGGCCAGGCTGGATGAGGCTTGGAGCAACCTGGTCTAGTGGAAGGTGTCCCTGCCCATGGCAGGGGGGTTGGAACTCGATGGTCTTTAAGGTCCCTTCCAACCCAAACCATTCTGTGATTGTTTAGAAAGTCTGTCTACATCGGTTATGACTGCAGCAGCACTGGTTGCTAGCTTGCATCTCCTGGGATAAATGAAATCTAAAACTTACGTTTCATCCCAAACTAAATGGAATACACCCCCAGTGATAACCTGTTGTTGACATTACAGAGATGAGTCTGCTTCAGCAACATATTATTGTAAAAAAAAGTCCGTTTCTGAACCGCAGGAAGAGTCTACATCAAACGTGGAGAAGGAGTGGATCTACTACAGAAAACTAAAATCTGGAGAGGAAGAG